CTTTCTTTCTTTTTTTTTTGTTTTTGTGAGCTATTTCCAAAGGGTTCATATGGTGCTCTTCAGTAAATTGGCTTGCTCTACATAAGCATTGTTTGGGAGTGATTTTGCAGTCAATATTGGTGGTAAGGCTTTCAAACTTTTATTTTAACTTTTTTTAACCAAAGAAAAATAAATGGTGGTTGTCACTCTAAGTTTTAAATACCCATTAGATTAAATCTACACACTAATACTTAGTACAAAGGAATACATGGCTATACTTTACAATAAGACAAGACTGAAAAATAAGCAATGCTGATATTTAACTTGCTGCATTTGAAATATCCTTTCGTGTTGCATTTAGTATAGTTGCTCGTTCCCTGGTAATGTCGCTTCATCTATTACAGTAAAATAAAGTATTTATTTTAATTCTATTTAAATCTGTAAGAATAGGCTGTTCCTTTTCTTCCAGTTCTAGATAGTCCTAATGAAAATATTTGAAACTTTATTTTTCAGATTTTGAATGTGTCACTGCCTCATTGAATGTATACACTTATCTCCTATCAAAACACAAACTTTTTACAGTTGCATGACTTTTCTGTATTTTACAGTTTTGAAAGCCTTACAACTCATGTCTTGAAACAAGTCTCTTAATTTTCAGATCTTAAATTACTTTACAGTTGCTTTGTTGGCTTTCTTTAATGTGCAACATTTGTACTGTCTCTGCATATAGAATAAGGGCCTTTAATCAATCCTTTCCTCCAGCCTTAGTTCTGAGAGACTGTTCTTTTACTTCAGTAAAACTTTTATTGTATTTATACCATTTATAAACCGCTTAAATTAGGTATGTGACATTAAAACATCCTAGACTCTGTAGTGTGTGAAGGAGAAGGGAGACTGGAATGCCATTGGATTATAACAACCTTACTCCTGTCAATTTTCTGGAATTGATTGTACACATTAAAGCAATAAGAATGGTGTGTTAAGTGTAACACCTGAAATGGTTGTGTTCCCATCGGCGGTGTGGTTTCCCTTACGCAGTCAGAAAGATCAGAACCCACAGACATCTTAATGAAGCTAAAACCGCTGAGCCAAAACTCCTGCAGTAGTCACTGCTGGTTCTGATCTTGTCTTGACGCTGCTGACGTAGACTTTATCTGGGGTGGCTTTATTGGCTTTAGTGCAATAAGTGAGAACAAGGCTTTGGGTCAGCTTGTCCTGGTGGAGATTGAGACATCTGTGCAATACATGGAGTTATAAAAAGTAACCACTTAGACTTTTAAAGTAGTGTTATGCAACAAATTAAACTATGGACTGATTTACCTATAATGGTATAAATACGGAGACTGCATGAGGTTTGTTATTCCTTCTTATTTTGGAACCCTCTACGATGCCAGGATGCTAACGAGGAAAACCCCAAGAGCTCCCTTTCTTGTTGATTCTATTGCTCGTACAGTACAAGACAATATTATTTTTACAGGGGTTTGTTACCCATGTCTCATATCTCACTTTCCACACTGTAAACAGATGCTACCCCCCCAAATTTTAGCTCAGTCTTACTATTAAGAATGAGACAGATGAAAAATACAGAACTTAGTCTGAAGTAGAACTAAGCTTATCAAAAGTGCGGTTCCCTTGAAGATGTCAATTCAGTTTGTTCAGCACCTTTAATGTCATTTGTGTAAAATGTATGCTTTCACATATTTAATATGCCTAAGTTTTTTGAAGATCTCCCTATTAAGTGCATTTACTATCAGTAATTTAATGAAGAGCATTCCTTGCCCAATGGTTGTATACATTTTTGAGAGAATACCAGAGATATGTAATATGAAGAACGATGTAAAGTTTTCTACATGAAAATACTATGTATAATACTGTTATAATATTCCATGCTTTAATCAAGTGGTAAATCAATAAAGTTTTAAGAAGTGTTGCTGGTTTCTTCTCCTGGAGTTCATTCACAGGCTTGTGAAGCTGCCGCCTGCCCTCACCACCTCATCAGAATGACGGGGCTCTCCCTTTTGGGGTTTGTGAGTGAGTTGGTTTTTTTTCCAGACACTCCAGTGCGTGCCTCCCACTCTCCCCGGTCGCTCTTTCCTCACCG